CCAAAGACTCCACCAAAAAACTATTAGAACTAGTAACTGGATTCAGCAAAGTTGCAGGATATGAAATTCATACACAAAAATCCGTTGTGTGCCTATATACTAACAACAAACTAGTAGAAATAGAAATCAGGAAAACAATTCCATTCATAATTGCATCAAAAAGAATAAAATACCTAGGAATAAACCTAACCAAGGAGGGGAAATACCTGTACTCTGAAAACTGTAAGACACCCATGAGAGAAAGAAGACACCAATGATGGGAATCTATCCCATGTTCATGAATAAAAAGAATTGATATTGTCAAAATGGCCATCCTGCCCAAAGCAATTTACAGATTCAGTGCAGTCAAAATACAAAAACAGCATTCTTCAATGATCTAGACCAAGTAATCCTCAAATTCATATAACCACAAAAGACCCCAAATAGCCAAGTCAATCCTGAGAAGGACAAACTGAGCTGGGGGCATTACACTCCCTGACATCAAGCTCTATTACAAAGCCTACAGTAATCAAAACAGTATGCTTCTGGCACAAGAAAACACCCATAGATCAATGAAACAGAACAGAAAGCCCAGATACAAACCCATGCATGTATGATCAATTAATATATGATAAAGGAGCCATGAATATACAGTGGGGAAAAGACAACCTCTTCAATAACTGGTGTTGGCAAAACTGGACAGCTACATGCAAGAGAATGAAACTGGGTTACTGCCTAACTGCATCATAATGTAGACTCAGAACAGATCACAGACCTCAGTGTAAGACACAAAGCCATAAAACTCTTGGAGAAAATGTAGGCAAAAATCTCTTGAACATAAACATGAGCATTTTTTTTCCTGGATGCATCTCAGGCAAGGGAAACGAAATAAAAAAAGAGAAAGTGGGACTACATCAAACTTAAAGGCTTCTGTACAGCAGTAGACACCGTCAGCAGAACAAAAGGGCAACTTACAGTGTGAGAGAATATATTCACCAACAATTTATCCAATAAGGGGTTAACATCCAAAATATATAAAGGGTTCATATGCTTCAACACCAAAAAAACAAAGAACCCAATTCAAAAATGGGTGGAGGACCTGAACAGACACTTCTCCAAAGAAGAAATACAGATGGCCAACAAGCACTTGTAAAGATGCTCCACATCACTAATCGTCAGGGAAATGCAAATCAAAACCACAGTGCACTATCACCTCACTCCTTTTAGAATGGTCACTATCCAAAAGACAAAAATAACAAGTGTTGGTGAGGATGTGGAGAAAAGGGAACCATCCTACACTGTTGGTAGGAATATAATTTGATACAACTGCTGTGGAAAGCAGTATGGAAGTTCCTCAAAACTAAAAATAGAAATACCATTTGACCCAATAATTCCACTTCTAGGAATTTACCTGAAGAAAACAAAATCCTGATTTGAAAAGGTATATGTACCGCTATGTTTAGAGTTTTTTTCTAGTTGTCTTTCTGATACTGCTTCCTAGATTCATTGTATTGTGATGTAGAAAATCACACTATGCACGATTTCTATCCTTTCAAAGTTTTGAAACTTTATTGCCCAATTTATGGTCTTTTTTGGTAAATATTTCATATGCGCCTGAAAAGAATGTGTATTTAACAATTCATGGATATAGTAGTATATGTGTATATGCTGTGTCACGTTGTTCAAATGATGTTCAAAGCTTCTATATTTTCCTGATTATTTTTGTCTGCTTGTTACAAGATCTGAGGGAAGAGTTAAAAATCACCAAACATATTTGTGAATCTGTCAGTTTTTGCCATTTGTATTTTGAAGCTAAGTTATTTACTGCATACAAATTCAGATTTTTACATTGATTGTTTAGACTGCTGCATTAGATTGTTTAGGTTGTTGCATTGATGCTTTTATACATTTTCCTGTAACATTGACCTCATATTATATTGATATGTCTATTCTTATCATAATATTACTTCCTTTAATGTCTGTTTTATTTCATATAACTACACTAGCAAGCATTCTTTTGGTTAATGTTTGCTTGGTATATCTTTTTCTGGATCTTTTTCTTTCAGTTTCTCTACTTTTATTTAAATATATCTCATCTCAAATCCAGCCTGACAGTCTTTGTCTTTTAATCTATTTAATTTATGTATAATGTCATTATTATTGTTTGATATTTATTCTGTGTACAATCATTCTGTTTGTTTTTTCTTGTCCCATCTGCTCTTTGTTTATTGTTTTATTCCTTTCATTCCTTTTTCCATTGGATTAATCAAGCACTTCATTTTTCTATTTTTATTTATTTCTAAATTTTTTGTTGAAGTATAGTTGACATAATATTGTATTAGCTTGAGGTGTACAGCATAGTGATTCAACATTTATATACATTACAAAATGTTCACCACAATAACTATAGTTACCATCTGTCACCAAAGTTACTGCAATATTATTGATTATATTCTGTATGCTGTACTTTTTATCCATGTGACTTACTTATTTTATAACTGGAAAATTGTACCTCTTAATCCCCTTCACCTATTTCTCCTATACCTCTCTCCCCTCTGGCAAACAACAGTTTATTGTCTGTATTTATGTATCTGTTTCTGGTTTTATTGTTTTGTTGTTATTTGTTCTGTTTTTTATATTCCGCATATAAATGAATCATGTGGTATTTGTTTTTCTCTGTCTGACTTACTTTGCTTAGCATAATACCCTGTAGGTCTAATCATATTGTCACAAATGGCAAGAGTTCCTTCTTTTTTATGCCTGAATAATATTCTATTCTATTGTATAGAATAGAATATATATATGTACACATCTTTATCCATTCATCTATTGATGGACACTTATGTTGCTTCCATATCTTGGCTACTATAAGTAATACTGCATAAACATAGGGGTACCTAGATCTTTTCCAATTGTTGTGTTCATTTTCTTTGGGTAAATACCCATAAGTGGAATTAATGAATCATAGGAAGTGTTTCTATTTTTAGTTTTTTAAGGAACCTACATACTGTTTTCCAGAGTGGCTGCACCAGTTTACATTCTCAAAAATTTGTGCATTAGGAATCCTTGTCTCCATATCCTTTCAAATACTTGTTTTTTCTTGTCTTTTTGATACTAGCTATACTAGATACCTATGAGTGATATCTCACTGTTTTTTGCATTTTCCTAATGATTAATGATGTTGAGCATCTTTTCACAGCAATCTGTCCCATGTGTCAAAATGCCCAAGGCCATGTAGTCTCCAGGTTGCTCTGGGACTCAGTCACACAGTGTGCACTTCTGATGGGGCTCTCCTGACCTTTTCAAAGGTCAAAGGCAGGCCCCAGACAGGCTACAGCCTACACTGTGTTCTGCCCGAGGCAGGCCGTGCTGCTAGCCAATGCACCTGGGCCAGTGCGAAAGGCAAACAGTCTACAAGGCGCTGCTGAGGCCCCAGCCACAGCCGTCTTCAGTCACACGGACATCCAGCTCTCAAGGCCCTGATGGGTCTGTCTCACTCAAGGCCTTCATGGCCTTGACTGTCCATTAGATTTTGCAGCAGCAGAGCTAAATGCACACATTTCATGCCAGCCCCTCTGATGCCCTTTCATACCAAATGGCATAAGAGCTTCGGAATTTGTGCCAAGTGTGGAATAAACACTCTCCAGTAGCCTACAAGACCCAAAACCTCTTGCAAAAATACCACATTTATCTGTAAGGTAATCCGACATGAGTGTAATATCACACACAGTATTAGATGCCCTATTCCCAAGGAGATTCAGGCTTATTCCACTCAGCCCCACCCTGCAAATAGTAGATGGGGGAACGGTCCCTGGAAAACCCTGCAGGTTGCAATAAATCATGGAGCATTCAACTTCTGTGTCCACCAGTGCCAGGACATGTTGTATATGCACAGGGGACTAATAAATGTTTTACATGTGGCCTCTGGTTCCCACCACATCCCCCAAGGTGGGGGCCATGACCCTCCCCTTAGTCAAACCGCCATGCCCAATCATCCTCCTGTGGGGGTGCAGGCCCAGGCGGAGCCTGAGTACTGTCCCCCAGGAAGTCTTGCAGGACACAGGCCAGACATGGGGCCTTGCCTCCAGCTTCTGTGTCCTGGACCTCAGCAGCTGGAACTGCTGCTCTGGCTTTAATTGGTGCCACAGTTCTAACAATATTCTATTGGGCTGCCCATCCAGTTTTTCTTTCACTACCCCGGCCTTTATCAAATCAACCCACATCTGTGTCCTCGAGACCTTTGCGGGGCCTTTTGCACCTCTCCTTTCAGTTGTAGCCCTTCCATGCCCTTATTGTTTCAACCTCCAACCTCCCCCAGATCTGCTAAGTACAAGTAGCCTCACTTATGGGTTGCCCTATGTCGGGGGCAAGAATAGTCACTAGAGACCCAGAGAGAGATGGGGGAGCTGTATGCAGCACCAGATTTCTTATTCCTATGATGAACAATTCCTCATGGGGGCCCTGGGGGTCCATATTATAGATGATATTTTTCATGCCCAATTTCCGAAACACCAGTACTGATGTAGATACAGAAATTAACTAAATTGGTTAATTCAGAACTAGTGATGGGGACACCTTCTGACAGTGAGCTAGATCTTCAAAGAATGAATGAAAGTGACCTGGAGATCCTGTAGGTAACTACAGTAAGTTGTTCTGAGGCAAATCCATTTTCTCCTGGCATCAATTTTAAGTATGGAGAGTTTCTGAACAACTAAAAGTAACTAACACTTACTAGAAACAAAAACAATTAGTAATTTTAAAATTACCATTCTGACATGTACATATTAGTTTCACAAAAGGGAAAAGTAAATGATATGTTAATCACCCTAGAAATCACTGTGTATAATTAGAACAAGCCTTGGCTATCATTTATCTTAATCATTTATTAATTTCTAACATACAGCAGAGCTTAACCCGTAATTATCTGTTGTAAGAACATGCAACTTTTGAACTTTGTTCTAAATGCTATTACAGAAGTCATTTTGAGAACGTAGCATAATTGTTCTTTTTTATTGTTTCAGATATTTCTCTTGAAGGAGAGAAGTACAAACCGTCAGTTACTGGGGAAGAAAAAATAACATGTATTTCACTTGAAATGAATCCATCAGCTGCTGCTGGTTCCCCCATTGAGACGGACAGTCCAAAGCTGAGTGAGACACCTCCACGTGTGTCACTGAAAGCAGAAGGAAATTTGGATGGTATGTTTTAATGAGTCAAAATGAGCTGTATTTGATTTAATAATATTTTAATTTCTTCTTTAAAAATGTGAGTTTATAAGCAAGTCATCAACATATGTATACAGTTGACTCTTGAATGATACAGATTTGAACTGCACAGGACCACTTATAGGCAGGCTTTTTTCAATCCTGTGCAAAACTGTAAATGTATTTTCTCTTATGATTTTCTTAATAACATTTTCTTTTTTTATCTTTATTGTAAGAATTAGTATATAATATATATACAAAGTATGTGTTAATAGAGTTTTTATTTTCTTATTGGTAAGGCTTCCAGTCAACAGTCAGCTATTAGTAATTAAATTATGGAGGAGTTAGAAGTTACATGTGGATGTTTAACTGTGTGTGGGTTCAGCACCCCTAACCCCAGCACTGTTGAAGTGTCACCTGTATATGTTTGGGTGATTCATCTCAAATTCGGTTGATGATTTTTATACGTTTAGTTACTAGTCTGGCTCTTTTATTGTTGTGTAACAAATCACCCTAAAACATAGTGTGAAAACAATAGTGATTTTATTATGTCTTGTGTTTTTTTGTGTCAGACACCGATTCTGGGCTTGGCTGACATGATTTTTCAGACCCCCATGCTTCAGTCTGTGGGACCGCCCGTGGTATTCAGCGGCGGTCAGGCAGCTCTTCCCGCCCAGGAGCTTCCCTGCCGTCAGGGGAGACCGTGTGAAGGCCACACCCGGCTGGGCCCCTCCCTGTCCTCACGTGGCCTCTAGGCCATCCTGGGCCCTCCTTCAAGCAGGAGAGTCTGACTCCATACATAGAGGCCGAGGCGCCCAGACACCTAGGTGAGAGCTGCTTGTGCTCTTAGAAGCCAGCCACAGAACTGGCAGAGCTAACAGACTTACTGGTCCAAGCAGTCACAGGCCAGCTTAGACTCAAAGGCCCACCTCTTGAAGACTGTTTAAGAACTTGCAGCCGTCAGTAATCTGCCATACCCTGTCTTTGACCAGAAATTATTTATGTTCCCCCTACATGTGGCATGTGCCCACCCCTTCTCAAAGCCTCATCTTGTTAGGACACTGGCTCCGATTCTAAAGGTGCTGCCCTCACAGCCAGGCCTGTGTAGAGACGAGCTCCCTTGGTCCCAGTTGTTCGAGTAGTTACTCTCGATTGAAGACTTGTAAGTAAAAAAGACAAGTCCTTTGCCTTCTATATATCTAACACACACTGGTGAAGCAGGAACAGAGACTCCTTTTCTAAGAAAGGACAGTGTCAGCACCATGCAGTCCCTGGTCCGTAGGCGTTCTGACAGCTGGCCGGGCGTGGTACCGGCAGCCACAGCCTGTGCCCAGGAGCCGGGGTCCTGCGGGCTCTGCCCCCTGGACTGACTTTCTTTCCCTCTCAGTCCAAACTGGTGCTGCTTCTGCAAGTACAGTTTTCTTAAGAATTTTGTATGACTTGAATAAATGATATCGACATTAACTACATTTGACAAAAGCCACTCTTTCTTTCTTTCTTCCTTGTTTTTTTGAGACTGGCCATTCTCTACCGTAGTTTCCTGTGAGAATGCGGTGAGACAGTGCGCTTCAGAGTCTTAGAAATCGTCTTGTCCAGCAAAAAGAGTCTGGGGAGCATGCCCTGAAGTCCTCCTAGCCCGTAACAGGTGGTCGTGTCGCCACTCGCTTGGCTTCCTCGTTGCCGTGAGACCACGTTTTATTGCCCTGAATTAGTGTTTGTCTTGAGGCCAAGTCTTCCCTTGACAAACTTTTGTTGCTTAGAAGGAATTATCTTGGGCTTTCTCTTCTAAATTCTCATAAACTGAACAGTTCTTTCTTCAGTTAATCAGTCTGTGAACTTTATCAGAAGCTACTAGAAGAAACTAGCTGGCACATTGAACATTCTGCTTAGATAATTGGTTAGCTGGATCATTGAATCTATTGTATTTCTGTCATCCTTGTTATCGCAGGTACCAGATTTTCTGCCACCATAAACAAGAATCCCTTTTGCTCCAGCCTCCAATAATATTTTTTTCTACTAGCCAATCTCTCGCCAACAGTCTTCTTGAAGATTTTTCTAATTCTGCCTGCTGTTTAGTCCCAAAATCAGTGCACATGTTCTAGGCTTTTGTTTTGACAGCGCCCCATTTACAGATACGAAGTTCTGTTCCAGTTATCTGTTGCTGCAAAACAAATTACTCCCAAACTTTATTGACTGAAAGTAACTATTTTATTTCATCTCACACTTTGTGGGGGTCAGGAATTGGGAAGGTTCTTCTCCATGTGGCACCCGCTGCGTCACTCAGTGGCATTCAGCTGTCGGACGGGCGTATCCTGGAAGGCGCAAGACGACGCCTCTTCCATGCCTGGGGTCTTGGCGGGGTTTAGCGGCCTGTCCAGCCGGCTCCTCTCATCTCGGTCTCAGGGTCTTGCCATTTGGTCTTTCTATGGTAGTTAAACTTCTTTCATGGTGGCTAAGGCTTCCAGATTCCAGGGTGGCAGCTGCCAGTTCTAAAGACTAGACCTAGACCTGTGCTAGCAACACTTTGGCTGAACCCCATTGATCGGGTGGTCTCAATGACAGCCCAAATTCACTGTGAGGAGAAATGGAGCCCCCTCTACATGAGGGAATCAGAGGCCTTGCTGTAGATGTGACCATCTTTAATGCACCACAGTGACTTAAACAGTCCTACTCATTAGAATCATAGTCAGGAGGTGTCTTATGCCTTTTCTTTAAAAAACAAAACCCTGTTAGAGATATAATAGAGGCTACATAGCCTAGAGCAGGGGTCAGCGATCTTCTTCTATAAAGAGCCAGATAGTAAATATTTTAGACTTTTTCTGGCAATACAGTCAACAAACCTAGTTTGAAGAATGAGTCATAATGATAGGGCTTGTGGTGATAGTGAAAAATTACTCATTTAAAAAGAAAGGAAGGATTCCCCCCCACACATACTTATCTTGTATGAGTAAACAAAAAAAGCGTTTGAATAATGATAAAAACTTTAAGGATGGGTACAGTGTCAATTATCTTTCTAAATAAGACAGCTAATTAGAAGCTTTAAAACTAGAGAAGGAAAGAGATTCCAGGAAAAATGAGGGGGTATGGTGGCTTAAACCATATAGTATTGACAATCTGAATTGGAGAAGAAAAAGAGAGGTTAACAAATGAAGAAAGTTCTTATTACTATTTACTTTCAGAAAATATCAGCCAGGTTAAAAAGGAGCCAGTGCCAGAAACAGAGGCAGTACCTTGGGTATTAATTATTTGAGGGTCTAGGAAAGAAGATTTAGTATACTCTGATTATGTGAAATTCTTAATATCATTGTAAAAGCCCAGGTAATAGGTTATTTTTTTCTGTTTTGGTGGTTGAAATATTTTGGTGACTGAACTTTCGTGTCAGTTACTAATGAATTATAGTGTTTTCTTATTTTCTTAGTCCATTCTACTACCATATTTCTAACCACAGATGTCATTATTCTTTAAACTAGTTTGTGTATCTTCTTTAAAGTAATTTACAGATACTGAAGTTTCAATGAAAAGGAACTTTTATATAATCATGAAAAATACAGCCTATAAGATTTCTTTTGAGTATTTTTATTGCAGTGAAAATGCAAAAGAAAAAGTCTATCATTTCAGAAACAATGGAAGTAGAGTACACAGTAAGATTAAAGATATATAGATAAAATATTTAACTTTTTCTGTTACGACTAAAATATCAGCCTACAACTAGATAATGATAATTTATAGAAAATTTATTCAGTTTTCCCTAAAAAAATTTTGCTCTAAGACGTGTTTTGTTATATGTGTTTGCTTCTCAGAACCTGATGACTTGGAAACAGAAATTCTGCAAGAGCCAAGCAAAGCCAACAAAGACGGCAGCTTGGCACGCGGAGCCGTCAGCGTGTGGGCCAGTGAGACAGAAGGAGAGGGGACTGAGTATGTCACCTCTTTCTCCTTGCGCTTCAGACCCTGAGTTCTCTTTGCAATGCCTCTGTAGTGAGATACCATGAGAACCTAGTTCGCATTATATCTTCTTACTGTAATACCTTATAGAAATAATTTGATTTTTTTTTACTAGAGATTACATTCTTGTGGTTCAGAAATCAATAAGTATATAAAGGTGTACAGTAAAAAGGCTCTTTCCCACCTCTGTTCCCCATCCAGCAATTTCCACTGTCTCCTCCCAGATATTTTTACTGTATACATAAGCAAAAAACAGATACATAGACTTTTTCTCCTTTAAATCATTAATGTAATGTACAGTTATATACAGATAGTTATATTACAGTTAGTATAATGTACACAGTATTTTCCACCTTTTTAATTTTTAGTTAATTATCTGGGAATTTTTTAATATTAATACACAGAGGCTTCGTCTTTTTTTCTCATTTTATGGCTACTTGGTATTCCATCCATTCCATGGATGTACTGCAACTCAGTAAGTCTACATCAGTTGATATTACAAATGGTGCTGCCGTGAATACCTTTTACATTTTGCACATAATACCAGTAGGTTAGCTACACAGAAGCATAATTGCTGGATCAATTGCATTTTTATAAATTGCATTTGTAATTCAGTTGATCTTCTTCCCAGGAGTTGTACTAATTTACACTCTCAGAAATAATGTATGAAACCTATTTTCCCCACAGCCTTGCCCAACTGTCACTATCAAAAATTTTTTTTTTGCCTATCTGATAGGTAAAAAAATAGTTTGTGGTCTTAGTTTATCTCATTATTGGTAAAACTGAGCACATTTTTTCAAATATTTCAGGTTTTTTTATATTTCCTTTTCTGTGAGTTCTCTGTTTATATCTTTGACCCATTTTAAAAAATCTGGTGGGTGGTGTTTTATAAATCATCAGTAACTCTAAATATTAGAGATATTTGCCCCAATTGTTATGTGAATTACCATTATATTTTCCCTCTTCACCATATATATATATATGTCATTGTTTTTTTAGTTTTGTCAGGCAGACCTGTTTTAGGTTGTCTTATTTATTTACCTGTGTTTTGGTAATTAAGAGAAACTTTCTTTTTAAGGTTATTAAAGACTTGTTAATCTTTTCTGGTACTGCTTTTATGTAGGTCCTTTTTACATGTAAATCTTTGACCTGTTTGGAATTTACCCTGGCGTGTAGATTCAGCCTTTTTTCCAGACGGCTGCCCAGCTGCCCCAGTTCCATTTGTTAAGAAGCCGTATTTCCTGCACAGATTTAAAATGCCCCTTGTAATATGCACTAAATTTTTAAAATTATTTTGGGTCCTTTCTGGTTTGTTTCCCTGTTTTCATTAGTCTTCATACAATGTGCTTGTATGCACTACTTTAATTAGAATGTAAGGTATATTTTTAGATGATTAAGGCTAATTTCCTTTTATCGCTCTTCTTTTTTGGTTGTGCTGGCTAATATTTCATCTAATATTTTATCTTCCCCCAAGGAAAAAAAAAAATCAATTGGTATTTAACTGGGATGTTAAGTTCATAAATTGCCATAGAGAAAGAATCGACGTGTGTTCTTCCCGTCCAAGGACGTGGTAGGCACCAGTCCAGTCGCGTGGCACTGGGTTCTTGCCCTCCGGTCGCTCTGCTGAGTGCCTGCCACACGGTAGTGACTGGGGAGAGCAGGAATCTACTTGTTCTGGACTTGAGCAAAGATGAGTCATTTGTTCACCTTCATTAGGTCTGACTACTTTTTAGTTAAGATAGGTTTTCTATTCATATTTTACTTACTAAAAAAAAAGCATTGGATTTTGTTAAATGACTTTTCAACCTCTGGAACGATTCATATAAAAATATTTTTCATTATCTGTTAGTCTAATGAATTATATTAATAGATTACTTAATATTGAACCACCCTGCAACTCTAGTTGGTCATGATGTATTATCTTAATGTACTTCTATATTTTAGATTTTTTTGTATTAATACTTGCAAGAGTCATCTGTAGTCCCTTTGTTAAGGGAAATTGTTGAATTTTGTTAATCATGCTATACTTCCTTCATAAAAAAGTAACTGGAAGTTCCTTCCTCTGCCATGGTCTGTAACAGGGATTGTCATATGTTTTCTGTGAAGAACTGGGTAGTGAATACTTGGTCTGTGATTCAGCTATTCAAGTCTGCTTTCATTGCAAAAGCAACCAGAGATAATCCATGAACAAATGAGTGTGGCTGTTCCAGTACAGCTTTATGCATAAAAACAGGAGGCTGGCTGCACTTAGAAATGGGCTCAAAGATGCACATGCAAGAATGCTCACTGCAGGAGAGTCATAGAAAACGGCTTGAATTTGTTTAAATAATCATTAATAAGGGTGTGGCTAAAAATATTGTATACTACATTATGCACAGCATGCAGCATTTAAAAGAAGAACAATTCAGAGAAAAAAGTTCCATTTCTAAGACCATTCAATAAAACAATAGACCTCTAAATGTAAAAGAAAATAAAAGGAGGTAACTTAATAGTTAATATCCAAAATTCATAATAAACATATGCAAATTAATAATAAAAAGACAAAGTCCAGGAGAAAAATTGGGGAGAGTATGAAAAGGCTGCTCACAAAGAAAGAAACTCGTATACAACTGTATGATACTTGGTGGATTCTAGGAAGCCAATAACATGAGAAGAAAGAGATCAGATGTTTAAGTTCTTTGACTGACTTTACTCAGGGGAGAACTATGTACAAATGAATGTCTCTGCTAGTCAGATTCCTCTCTGAGGAGAGCAGTGAAGAAAAAGCAGGGCAAGCGTCCAAATGTGTTTTCAGTGAGTTTCTCCATAAAGTAACGTGGAGCTGGGGGAAGTGACAGTAGTTTCGGTGAGGCGTTGGGAGTTGGGCACTTGGACATCCCGCAAGTGCACATGTGACTCAGAAGAGCTGACCTGGAGATCCCCTTGCCAACTGTAATAGTTTAAAATGTGCACATCGTGTGATAGACCTTTTACTTTTTGTTATCTCCTCTCAAGGTCATCCACACATGGGCACAAAGATACATATACAAGAATGTTTACTGCAGTAGAGTCAGCAAATAATCTGAAATAGTGTAAATAATTAATAAGGAAGCGGCTGAAAATATGGAAGTCTATGCCGCACCGTGGACGGTGTGCGGCACTTACTGGGGTGAGATGGAGCTCTATGTATTGATAAGTAAACACAGCCCAAACACCGAATGATTAATGAAATAAAATGATCTTGTATAAAAAGTGGTTGCATACATTAAAATAACGCTGTGATAATTATGTGTAAAAATTATTATATACTCAAGTGCATATATATTGATATATTTTAAAGGAAATGTATCATAAGGTACCAAACTGATCATCAGTAAAGACAACTGGGATTTGCATGGTTAGGGGAATCATAAAAGGAGCATTACTTTTTAAAAAATTAAAATACAATTCATAGCATTTACCATTTTTGCCATCTTAGAGTGTACGATTCAGTAGCATAGAGCACACGCGCAGCGCCGTGCGGCCATGACCACCGGGTGGTTTCAGATGCGCTCATCACCCCACAAGGAAACCTGTTACTCGTCAAGCAGCCACTCCGTTCCCCCGACCCCCACAGCCCCTGGCAACCCCTGACCTGCGGTCTGACTCTGTGGCTTTGCCTATTCTGGGCATTCCTCGTGGAATCACACAGTATGTGGCTCTTTGTACCTGGCTTCTCCCAGTTAGCACAGATTCTCCAAGTCTATCCATGTTGTAGGATGGTGTTTCGATTCTTCATTCTTCAAAATGTCTCAGTAAATCCCACGGCATGAATACGCGCGACCGCGCCGTGTACTTTCGCTCGCCCAGGAGGTGTCGGGAGCAGTGCGTCCGTGGGCCCCTGTGCCCGGCTCTTGGGGTCGCAGCCGGCAGTGGGGCGGCTGGGCGCTCTGACTCCGTGCTTACCTGCTTGAGAGACCAAGGAGCGTTTCACTGGGGATGAAGAAAAGTGCTACTCCTATGATTAGACACAAAGTAACACTTTGAAAAATAAGAGTAGAAAATTATTCAAAATTTTAAATGGGAAAAGTAAAAAATTATTTAAATTTGAGATGGATTAAAAAGAAGAAAACAAAAACTGCTTATAAGCCAAACTCCCAGAAATACATTTTTGGTACCAGTGTTTATTCTTCCAGTGTTTAAATTTTGTTTAAAAAGTATAATACATGAGTTTAATTCCCAGTTGTATTGAGTTTAAAAATAGTGAGTTCTTTATCTTTTGTCCTCAGTGAATTCATTCCTTTAAGACATTTTTGTGCATATCATTCTATTCCTTTTACTGTGCTACACACCATTTTTTTGAAACCTAACACCTTTTAATACAAATTGGTCTGCAAATTATTTTGCTTCCTTAAAAAATATATCTTGATTGTTGTTTATATCAGTTCATATAGATTTGTTTCATTCTAGCAGCGGCATGGCATTTCATAATATTGGTATATCATAATCCTTTATATTCTCTGCTATTAAGGGGCATTTGATTGCTTAAAGTAGTTCTCAAACATTAGCAAGCATCAGAATTACTTGGGGATTTATTAAAATATGTTGCTGGGCCTTATCCCCCAAAGCTTCTGGTCACAGGTCTGGTGGGGCGGGCATCATAACTGCACCCCAACGAGTTTCTGTGCATTGCTGGTGTTCTCAGAGCACACTTTGGGAACCACCAGTATAAGAAATGGCCAGGCTGGTTGTTGTGAATGGTTATGATCTGTGAGGGTTTGAACAGGGTCCAAAATAGTATGCTTATGAGAGAAAGTATATATGCAAGTGAGAAAAAATATTTAGAAGAGAAATCACAGGATGCTAATGAACTCGTGTTCCATTTTTTCTCTGTTCGAGAGCGCTTTCCTTTCTAGTGGACTGTTTACTGATAATATCCATCTGCGGCAGGTTGGAAGACAAGGTCACCGTTCAGCAAAATGAAGTTTCTGAAGATGGCATCTCAAGGACTGTGGACCACGGTAGTGAAGTTCAGATAGGTGAGTATCAGCGTCTAATCACTGTCTAAAACCATCATTGGTCTAATTACTTTCCAGAGGGTTTTTTTAACCTGTTTTATTTGGATGACATATTAATAGAGAGCATTCCTTATCAATCACCTCAATCATTTAAAATATGTAATAGGCATAGAGCATTCAATGCTTCATTCATAAGCCTAGATTGTAGGCAACATGGGTAATAAAACTTTTTGGTCACTATTTTTATCAAAAGTTCAAAACAAAAAGAATTGCTTGCCAAAACCAAGCCAGTGTGCTAAGGACATTAAATATGTTGTCCTCTTGATTTTAATAGTACTAATTAAGTATAATAAATATAATTTTTCTATGCTATAGGAATAAAGATAGACTGGAAATAAATATGTGTGTCTGAAAGTGTATTTTTTCACATTTCTTTGCATTTATGTCTACATTTAGAACTTCCATATAATGGAAGTATATAGCAAATTAAATCTGCTTTCTGAAAAATAAAGATTATATATATGTACATATATATTTTGATTTTTGTTTTTCTGATATGTAGTTTTATGTTGGAATTCATGTTAAATACTGTGCCTTTTCAATATTACTTAGGACTTCATTTAAATACTGTATAGGCTTATTACATAATCTTTCCTTTATACCCCAGAACCTGGAGTAGATGGTTCTCAGCCCTCTGAGTGTGATGGAGAGAAGTCTGTGCAGCCAGAGCCGTTCTTCCACAGAGTGGTTCATCCCGGACACCTGCTCACAGCCCCGCAGGTCCAGTCAGCTCTCTGCTCACCAGAAGAATACTTTCCACTTCGATGTCACTCTGATTCACCCCCAAACCACAAAAATAAGAATTCCTTGCTGATTGGACTTTCAACCGGGCTGTTCGATGCAAACAACCCAAAGGTGAGTGTGTGCCCCTCAGATGGAAAACAGCTTTTATAAAATTGGGTACTGTTTTTCTTTGATAAACAGTGACACTGAGTTTTATTCAGTTAAACACACACACACACACACACACACACACACACACACACACACACACACACATCAAAGCAACAAAAATAACAGACAGAATAATTTACCTTTTCTCTTCTGAGATACTGGAAAGAAATTACCCTTGAGAAGTACAACTAGGAAAAAGACTACTTCATCAGCTACCCTTGCAGGATTCTTTTTTTTTTCCTCTTTTTTTTCTTCATCTTTTTTTATTAGGGTATTATTGATATACACTCTTATGAAGGTCTCACATGAAAAACAATGTGGTTACTATGTTCACCCATATTATCAAGTCCCCTCCACACCCCATTGCAGTCACTGTCCATCAGTGTAGTAAGATGCCACAGAGTGACAAATTGCCTTCTCTGAGCTACACTGTCTTCCCTGTGATCCCCCACACCATGTGCACCAATCATTATACCCCTCAGTCCCCTTCTCACTCCCTCCCCACCCAGCTTCCCACACCCCTCCCGTTTGATAACTGCTAGTCCCTTCTTGGAGTCTGTGAGTCTGCTGCTATTTTGTTCCTTCAGTTTTGCTTCGTTGTTATACTCCACAAATGAGAGAAATCATTTGGTATTTGTCTTTCTCTGCCTGACTTATTTCACTGAGCATAATACCCTCTAGATCCATTCATGTTGTTGCAAATGGTAGGATCTGTTTATTTCTTATGGCTGAATAATATTCCATTGTGTATATGTACCACCTCTTCTTTATCCATTCATCTACTGATGGACACTTAGGCTGCTTCCATTTCTTGGCTATTGTAAATAGTGCTGCAATAAACATAGGGGTTGTGCAGGATTCTTTTTATAGGGTCTACTTTTATTTGAGCAAAAGATCCTTCCTCCACTATCTCCCTTTTCCACTACCTGATCCAGCTTTCATTTTTAATACGAGACTAAGCTTAAGAAATATATCTTAAATGGACATAAATGGCATCTTGTCTAATTTGTATGTAGAAATATTGATAGATGTAAAAGTTTTTCAAACCTCTTACGTTTTCTCACTTGCTATTTTTAAAAATATATAACTTTTTTCTTAAGAAATAGCATTATCTATAGAAAATTAAAAAATACAAATAAAGACATCATATCATTTTGTTATATTACTTTCCATATATGAAATTTTTATAACTTTTTATCAAAATAGGATATTATGCATATTCTTTGTGTAACCTACGTTTCTATTTAATATGTATAGTAAAAATACTACAAATACTATATTACAAAAACAGCATTTTATCATGTTGTCAAATATTCTCTCATATCATCTATATTGACAAGAAATTCCATTTTGCTGTATCATAATTTTTTTTATCTAACCTATGTCTATTGTGTGGTCTTTAGGTTTCAATTTTTGTCATTATAACTACATATACCTCTATCTTTGTACATATCCATAATTATTTCCATAAAATAAATTTCTGTAAGTAGAATTCAAAAAGCTTTATTGTATATTTCCTGATTTCCTTTCAAGAAACAGCTTATAGTGCCATCAATAGTGTGTGAGATCCCATACCCTAAATAGCACCAACTGTTATCATTTATTTTAAAATTGTTTGTTTAATGAATGAGCAATGGTGTTTCTTTTTAATTTGTATTTCTCTGTTAGTGAGGTTGAACATTTTTCATATATTTAAGCCTGTGTATTGAATTGCCTGAATTCTTTTCTGTGACTTTTTTAACTATGACATTTTGATTTTCAATTTAATTTTCCAATTGGATATGTTGCTATCTTGTATAGTATTTCCTTATGCTTATCTTAAATGTAGATTGCTAAATTCTCTCACTTGTCTAATAGCTGTCAGAATTTCAAAAATATGAACTACCAGAAGAAATTTATGATCTTTAGAGTTAGAGAAGAAGGCTTATTGACAGGGCGGACAAGGGTCGTCGTGCGATTCGTGCACTTCCTCGCGCAGTGAAGGTGTCCGGCGTGCTTACCCCAGAGCTTTTTAATGACGTAGTGCTATGAAGTTGATAGTCCTTGCACAATACATGTGATTACTTGGTCTTCTTTCACGACCTTAATTCAGCCTTAGCGGTTCCCTAGAGAGTCACTCGGAAGTAAGCACGGCCAAGCGGGCCCACAAACAGGACTGTGAGGGGGCAGGAGACACTAGAAAATGGAAGCCATCTGCAGCCTTTCGGGCCTGCCCCGCAGGTCTCTGAGGTCATGACATTCACCTCTGGGCCCCAAGAGTGAATCGTCAGTGCTCGTCACGGTGGCCTTGAGTCAGGAAGAAGAGGCGGACGTCATTTATAGGCACTTATATCATCCTTGCACTAAAATAGGATCATTTAACCTCTTACAAAGATTTTTGTCAGAAGCTCATAAAAAGTACTCGGGTACACTGCTTGTGTCCTTTCTTCTATCAAATAACATCCTTCCTGTGTTTTGGACTCCAGCCTGTCACCCTCTCAAGGATTCCTGCCTTTACTTTTGTCACTTGACCTGTGCCGTCCTCTTCCTCCTGTAGCGACCGTTTCCTTGACACACGTGTCCCAGTAGGTCCCCTCCTGGGTCGCAGGCGTCTCCTGAGCCCGTGTCCTTCCTGGCTGCCACCGCATCTCTGCTCCCTGTACGGACGCCGTGAGCTTGCATCGCTGCCGTCTTCGCCTCCCTCCGCTCGCTCTGTGAAAGCTGCTCTTGTCAAATTCATCCATTAGCAGCGCGTGGCCAAATCTCCCGTCCCTTTTTCTCCCTCACCTTTCTCGACTTTTCTTCTTTAACAGAGTCGATGTCCTCCTTACTTTTGCCATCGTTCTCTCTGTTGGCCTCCTTTATGTCACGCCTGCTGCTCTCCTCGGCACCCAGCAGTCACCCTAGGCTCCTGCGCCGGCGGCTGCTCCCCCAGGGGACCTTCTGGGAAGAGTGGGTGCGCTGTTCTGTAAATGTCGAGAATTACCTCCCGCTGGTCGGTAGGGTTGTTCGAGTCAGTCTTCTTTATCCTCACGGACTCTGTCCACTCTAACTAGCAGTTGCTGAGAAAAGACTGGAATCTTTAAAACTACACTTGTATTTACCTACTTATCCTTTCAGTCGTGTCCATTTTTGTTTCATGTGTTTTGAAGCACTGTTACTGAGTGAGTAAGAATTTAGAATTGTCGTTTACTGTGAAGAAATGACCCTGTTTGATAGTGCTGTCCCTCCTCTATATCCTGGTTTTCTTTCTACTTGTTTATCAGTTACTGAAAAAGTACTGAAATGGCCAGTCAGTTGAATGTGAATTAATAATATTTATGTCTTCCTGATGAGTTGACCCCTTTATCATTATGAAATGACTCTCTTAATCCCTGGCTATATCACCTTGTTCTGAAATCTGTGTTGTCTGGTTTTAATATAGCCATTCCAGCTTTCTTATGGTTAGTGTTGATATGGTACATGTATTTTACAGCCTTTACTTTTACTTAAACTGATTTTACCTGTAAAGAAATTTTTTGCAGCCATCATACACTCAAGTTTGCTTTTTGACCAATCTGACAATCTTTTAAAGTGATTAGGCCATTCATGTTTCATGTGTTTTTCAGTACATTGTTGGTACGATGGAGCGTAACCCTACCATTGTGCGATTTGTTTTCGATTTGTCTCATCGCTTCTTTGTACCATTTTACTTTTATGCTCCTTTCTTTTGGATTGTTTTTAGCATTTTGTTTTTTCTGTACTATTTACTTATGTTTTCTTGTTGTCATTCTCGATGTTCATGGTAATCTTTAGATTTCTACAGTCTTCCTTGAAATAATGTTACACCATCTCACAGGAAACCTAAGGACCTTACAGCGGTGAACTCGCCCTGCCGCCTGTTCGCCTGCCCTTCGTGGCACTGCTGTCATTATTTTACTTCCACATGTGGGACAGACTCCATAATAAATCATACTGTTTTTGTCTTAAACATTCAGCCATCTTTTACAGAAAGTAAAAATCGAGGAAGTCTTTATATTTGCCAACTTACCATTTCTGACATTCTTCATTCCTTTGTGTAGAATTCAAGTTTCTATCTGGTATTATTTTTTCTTCCACTTTTTGAGAACTTCTCTCTTATGCAACCCTATTGGTGCTGATTTTTTTTTCAGCTTTTGTTTGTTTAAAACATTTTATTTCACTTTCATTTTGAAAAGGTATTTCCATAGATCTGGAATTATACTGTCTTTTAGGGTGCACTGTTTCTGACAAGAAACACTAAATACAGTAGCAGCTTTCCTGAAGTAGCTGAGCTTGATTAGGTTGAGAGTATAGCACTTAATGCAGATCGCTGAAGGTACATTCATAATAGGTCAGAGTAAAATAGTTTACAGGTGTGATCTTCTCATGATGAACTTACCGAAGAATAGAGCCCAGTTCACCAAAGGCCCTTCCCTTTAGACCTTCCTCACTTTAGGGGACAGTGAATAAGGGGGGAGAGAAGCCACATGTGTTCCACTGATACTTTTTTCGTATGGGGAGTAGAATGGAAAACTGATCTTTATGAACACTTGAGAATTTCTTTTTATTCTTATAGCAGATGTAGAGTGTGGGGAAGATTATGTTCAGTTCACAAATAGCACATGTGGCTTAAGTGTCTTTTGATTTTGCAAAAATATAAATTCTTAGAAAATGTCCATAATTTTTGCCTTCGGTAAATGTTCATAGTTTTTAAATTTTATATGAAAAATGCTACAGATGAAGAGGTGAGTTGACAGTATTCTTCTCCTTAGAATTTCATGGGAAGTTCTGTTAGTGCAGTTAGTATGTAATTCATTCACTGTCTTACGTGGTCATTCTCGGTTCTGAGAAAAAAACAGACCTTAACAAAACAACAAAATCTAAAGGAAGCATGTATTCTTAAAAAATGTTTTAATATTTCCTAAAACATTGTGTTCCTGTTTGATTTTGTAATGGTACCAAGTGCTAGCTGTGTAAATTAT